TTTGGTAATTTCAAGTGAGAGATATTTTGTGGCTTATTTTGTGAACCACTTGGGGCCCACATCCCATACTCCTCCCTCACTCATGTATCCCCCTCCTTTTTGGAGCAAACTCTTTCACTTTCTCATTTATCTATTTTCTCCCTCACTTCTCTCCCGCTCTAACTCTCTCCCTTTCCGGAAATCACATATCACCACCACTTGGTTCCAAATTGGTAAGAATATGTTCTCCTCATTTTTATCTTCATTTCCATATAAAGCTTGTCGATTTTGGTTAAGAATTGAAGAAGTTATGAACGTTTAAAGTTTTCTGGCGACCTCCGCGAATTTCAGGCTATTTTCTGGCAATCTCTGGCCACTTTTTGAACTCCAAAAATGTACAATATTGTTCTACACTTTCCTAGCATCATTTTGATATATTATGGGATAATTTTGGTTGAGAAACGAGTGAGATATCGTTGTTTAAAGTTTACCCAGAAAATTCATCCACTTCTGCAGTTTCGGACAAGCGACCAGAAAAAAAAATAAAAAAATAAAAGCCAAGCCTGGATCCAAACCCATGACCCGTTGACCTACATTCGACCCGGTCCATTTCAAAATTTGGAGGGAATATTCCGTTAACTTTTCAATTAACTTTAACAAAATATTCCTTCTGAGGATGGAATATTCCATTAAAGTTAATTGTTGACCGTTAGTTGACTTTTGTTGACTTTTTTGAAATTTTCTCAAAAGCTCTCCTAGGCTAATTTTGACGCTCCAAGTCCATTTTTGGCATCCATTTAGTGAAATTCCAAATTTTTAACGTAGTTAACCACCAAGGTGGCTCAGTTGACTTTTTAAGGTTAACTATTGACTTTTTACAAAATTTGTCCAGTACCCTTCTTAGCGTATTTCAACGCCTTGTTCCAAATCCGCACTCCATTTCCCCAAATTTAATTGTCTAAGTGGAGTTTTACTAATAGGTCACAATATTATGCTTAGGTGCGATTACTATCAGAGACTCCGACTACCCTAGTTTGAACGGCTGCGACCTCGCAAGTATCTATGAGTGGGTCTTTGCTTTTAAATATTATATATTTATTTAGTTTCCGTTTACACATTTGAAAAAGAATTTCCTATGTATGCCCAGATTAGACTAATGTTTATAAGAATTAGCGAAATTACGGAATTTATGAAATTGTTCTGAATCCTGCGGGATGCCTATTATGGGATGCTTATATTTGCGGCCATGAATAATGTTATGGTTGATTAGAATTATCGATTTACCATTATATGGTCATAATTATATTATCTACTCATCGTTTGCTACACTGGTGTTGTACTCCCAATGGTATATGTCTTATTCTAATTTTACTGCATTTTACTTATGCTCTGACATCACATGTGAAATGGGTTTATTCTTGTTCACAAGCGCACTCTTCCATTTAGACACTTTTAGGTTTAAATTTACTCACATATTCCACACCAGTACACTTTATGGCTTCGTCACCCTCCAGGTGTCGGCTAACACAGCTCGATTCGGAGTCCAGGTGGACATTCCGAGTCGAGGTCAATTTGGTATCAGAGCATAAGTTTGGGCAGTATTGCGTTCATCACACGCGTGATGTAAGCATTCTTGGTTTTTGAACTTAATGTCAAATCTTGCCACCTCGTCGAGCATGAAAAATGTATTTGCTTTTCTACGTTTTGGGTGACTTATTAACCTTTTATAAGAACATCTTGGAGACTGCCTCTAGACTTAAACAAAGAACCTCCCTGTCAAGGAAAAATCCCGATTTGGAATGAATTGTTGGCCCTGACGCAGGGTTAATGTATCGATAGATGTGTACTATCAGAGATTTACCCATTAATTACTATCCAGTCATCATTACTATCCCTTCTATGATAGGAAATCAAAAATATTTTTTATTCCTTTGCAGTACCCATTAGAATACCACCTATTTGAATTCCTACTAAGTTTTACTTTCATCGAGATTTCCAGAAATGTCTTAAGCGACCATCTAGTGCTAAAGTTGTAGCACTTGACAAAAGGACATCTGGGGGACAATCACGTTTGGTCCCCAATAGTACTAATATTCTCAAAAGCACTAGTTATAATTTCAGATCTTTAGGAAGAAGATCGAACCTCATTAAACCTGTTTTGAGGTAGGTTATTATCAAATTCCTTTTTCCGACTTTAGAACACTCTAACCAATACTAGTTTCCAGAATTTCTTTTGGTGTTGTACTCGTTATTTCGATAAGTATAGGCACTGAAGTACGAGTTGTTATACCTACAGTTCGTAGAAATTCCCGAAGTAGTAAGTATTTTCCCTATAATTATGAAACCACCTCATAAGACCAATTCCTAACCAATCGTCCAAAACCATCCACTTGAGTGGACTCTAACATTTAATCAGCCTATGATGGCACTACTAATTAACGATACTGTCTGATATCCAAAAGCTATCAACCAGTATTCAGGCGGTATGATTTCTGATACCGGACACATGCAAGTGTCTGGGAGTGATACCTTTGTGCCAAAACGCCAGTTCAAAGGTTCAGGGTAATGAACAATATCAAAATATCTTAAATGTGTTAATTAACAGTGTGACTGATAGATTGATTAACAGTGATTACCTAAGCCAAAGAAATTAAAATCGTGGAAACTTAGGAGCAAGCCTTTTAGGAAGACAGTAAACTCGTAGTTGTGTTAATTGTTTTACCTATTTAGGTAACCAATACATTCTCAACCATTCATCATTGTGGTCACTTCCACCGATAAACATTAGATTTGAAGCACGAGTTAATTTCCCGATGTAAGAGCAATTTGAGTATCGAGAAAGCCATGAAGACCTATTATTATGTGTCGTAAGGAAAGGAAGTGGTATGGTACGTTTCAAGGACTAATATCTTTGGCTTCATTTCCCAAAATTTTACCGGGATATCACCAAATTGTGAAGTGAAGTACACCATCGACCCACTTTCTAGTATTACACCAATTTTCCTTGCCTCATATTGAACAATTCCAACGTCATTAAGAAACTTAGTTACAAAGTTTACTGATTACGAATTTACCTAACCAGGAACCAAACACTTTATCTTGGGAATCTCAAACCTATCCGCGAAGGCGAAAGACTAAACCTTAGGATCGTGCCTAGATTTTAGCAACTCAATCGGGTAATGAAATTGATCTAAAGTGAAACAATCTGCCAATTGCACAAATCCTTATATGAAGTGAAACAATCTCCCAAAGCTTGGTATGATAAATTAGATGGTGCTTTATTATCACTTGGTTTTATTGGATCTCAATCTGATCACTCTTTGTTGTAAAAAGGGATCCTACCTTGGTATTCATTATTGTCTATGTTGATGATATTCTTGTCACTGAAAATGTCACTGGCCCTTCATATCAAGCTTGTAAACAAGTCATTTCTCAACTAAATACTCTATTTCCTATTAAGACCTTGGGTCCATGCATTACTTCCTTGGTATTGAAGACAAGAGATCTTTAAAAGGTACTTTCATGTTACATCCCAGTCCGCATAGTAAGATATTGTCAACTTTGGGCCACGCCTTCACCGATTTGTTATTGGGCTTCCACCCAAAACGCATCTCATTATAAGGAGGTAGGCATGTACATAAGGCACATCACCCCCTCTCCCCCGAGCGATGTGGGATCTTATAATCCACCTCCCTTAGGGGCCCGACGTCCTCGACGGCACACTTCCGGCGGGGGAGTGGCTCTGATGCTAAATTGTCACATCCGAGTCCGCATAGTAAGATATTGTCCGCTTTCGGCAACACCCTCACGGATTTGTTCTTGGACTTCCACCGAAAACGCATTTCACTGTAAGGAGGTGGGAATGTACATATAAGGCCCATCACCCTTTTCCCCCGGGCGATATGGGATCTTACATTCAACTCTCAAACCAAGTATACTCTAGATTTATTAAAGAAGGCAGACATGGATGGTGCAAAATATTGTGTCACTCTTCTCAGCATTCTTCTCCTATTTTGGAAAATTCTGTCAAGTACAAATCATTAGTAGGTGCTTTACAGCACCTAACTAGGACTATACCAGATTTATCATTTTTTGTAAATCCTGTCTGCCAATTTATGCATAGTCCAAGACAATCTCATTTTCAAACAGTCAAGATAATGTTAAGGTATCTCACAGGGTCTATTGATCTTGGTCTCTGGTTTTCAGAATGTTCCACAACTCCTTGCATCAAAGCATTTTCAAATGCAGACTGGGTAGACTGCTCTATTAAGAAACATCCGCCAGAGGCTTCTGCATATTTCTAAGAAATTCCACAATCAGTTGAAGTGCTAAAAATCAGCCAACAATGGCAAAACATTAATAGAAGCTGAATATAGATCATTGACTAACACTGGTGCAAAAATCTCATGGATTTTTTATTTTTTAAGTTGTTGGTTGATATTGGCCTCAAACTTTCATATTCTCTTCAATTATGGTGTGACAATATATCATCAATTTCTTTGGCTAAAATTGCTCTCTTTCATGCGTGAACCAAACATGTTGAAATTGATCACCATTACACAAAAAGGTTTTAGCCAAAGAAGTCTCAATTCATTTTTTCTGTACACAAGATCAGATTGTTGATGTATGTACTAAAGCTCTGCCCAAGCTCAAATTCCATTTTCTGCAAGACAAACTTTCTCTTCGAAGACCAGTTTAAGGGGATATTAGGGGTAGTATTATAAATCATTATGTTGGAGATAAATCTTAATAATATTAAGCTTGTTATGTTGGTTATGTTAGTTGTTAGTTAGTTAGAGTATTTTGTTTTATATTACAAGTGTGTAAATGAGTTGTCTATATACTCCAGATGTAATCTTATTCATTTGTTCATTCAATGAATCATATTTTCTCAATAAAGATTACTTATGCTCCAAGTCACAAGTTACTTGAGAGCTAAGTCATTCCAACGACAATCCATTGACATATTCAATAAGATTTTACACAAACCAGATCTAATGGATAGTATGCTCAGAGGCCAATGCTTTAACTTTTGCCTACTAATCTGTTACAATAAAATAATCCAATGACTGAACAAAAGAAAGCATGCGCAGTATACAGAGTACACAAACAGCAAAAAGAAAAGGAAATGAAACTGAGAAGCAAAAAATAATCAAAGATATATAAAAAGTTGTTAAAAATTATCAGCTAGCAGCCTCGTAGATCACCAGAGGCAGCAGTAGAGAAACCCTAAGAAAATGAAAACCCTAAATAGCAACCCGTGCTTGTGCTTCACACAAAGTGAGCCAGATGAATCTTTATCATGATCGCCATTGGCAGTGTCATCCTCTTTAGGATGGTCGAAACTGGCAGGAACAATGGTATCTGGGACAGAACCATCATCATTGTTGCCATCACCTGCAGACTGCCGGGCGGGACCGCTTGCTGGACTTGGGGACTGAACGGCTGGGTTCTGTAAACTCTTTGGCAACCCTTGTCCGTGAGAGACGGTGATCTTAAAGTGCTGTCCGTTCTTGCATTGCTCACCATCATAATCCCCTGAAAAGAAATAGTTTATCCCTTCTCTTACCAAAGGCACTGCCACTGAGACCTTATGTATGGCCGTGTTTGACGGGTCCGCTGCCGACCATTGCATCGTATCGTTTTCTAGAGCGTCGTTGTAATCGCACAGCTTGTACGTTGTCAAGTTATATGTTTGCACAACCGAGTGGTTGGTGTCCGTATTAAAAACTGCAAAACAAGTACGTCTATAATCAACACTTCAGTAACCATATGTAAATTTAGCTGAGCGAAGCTATATTGACTAGAATAATATCCATGCTTTTTTCATAATCAACTTCAAATTTCTCACAGTAAACTATTTTAGATTAAATTAGAATATTGCTCGAATAAAAGAAACACTTCAACAAAATTAATGCATAAACATATTATTTCCCGACCGAAAGATTTTTGTTCTTGTTGTTCATATTTACCAGAATATAATATTCTTCAGGTATTATATGTAGCAGTTGCAGCCCTGCAAGACACTAATTGAATTATTATCTATTATAAATACGCATACCAAAGTGAATGTGTCAGCTCTGGATTACCAATGACTGTACATTCTGTAAAACATCCTGTCTTCGTTTGCACATTCTACATAACATTTTTACCAATTATGTTTTTGTTGAGTAAACCATTTTTTTTTAAAATAAATTTTCTACTAAATCACTTCCAAAAAATTTATGCGCGCGCGCGCACATATATATATAGTTCCTACGTAAAGATCATCCTATTTTCAATGCATAGTTCAATGATCTGAATTGTTCACTTTTTAAATTTCTTTCAAGAATACCAATAATCAGCTAAACCAACAATTGTTTAATTGTTAGATCGTCTTGGCATTTTCATTACAATTTTGAATAATGAGTCATGATTTTTTGTACATTTAGGATTTGAATGAGAAACATTAGTATCCGGTTCCTAGTTACTAATGTTCATTGACTGAGACCTTATTAGTTTTCAATTTTTTATTGAAATCCCTAGCATTAATGTGATAATGAATTTACATGTTTATTGCATATTTTTTAAAATAAAAATTAACAATTGATTTAGGGGTTTAATGCTCACCTCAACTAAACTCCTAATTAATTTTCAATACAAACATTTCCAAAAAAAAAAAAAAAATTAGAATAAGTTTGTACCCATTAGTTTTTTTATAAAAAGATTCTCAATTTTTATATATTAAATGTACCCATTCATATAATTTTTAATTTTTTAATCTTAAATGTACCAATTCTTAAATATACCAATTTGTTATATGTAAAATGTACCATTTTTTAATATAAAATGTACAAATTTTTTATATTAAATGTACCCAATTTTTTAATATAAAATCCATTAAAAAAAATTTAATCCAATTTTAAACTTATATGTGTACATTATTTTTTTCATTGATTTGATCTGTAGTTATGTCAAGTTTAATCGAAGAAATTTACTAATGTTATTAAGCTTTATATCTTCTTTTTTTTTCTGTGTTTTGAAGAATGTATCAATGTTTTGGTCCAATAATTTTCTTTTGTTAATTTTATGTTTTTGTTAATTTTTGATGTATATACACACACGCGCACACACTGTCACATCCCACCCCGGGCCCCCAACACATCCCAGGCTCGACTCTACCGTAGCACGATATTGTCCACTTTGGGCCCCAACCACGCCCTCACAGTTTTGTTTCTAAAAACTCACAAGCAACCTCCCAGGGGGTCACCCATCATGGAATTGCTCTTGCGCGCACAGTTTTGTTTCTAGGAACTCACAAGCAACTTCTCAGGAGGTCACCCATCATGGGATTGCTCTCGCGCGCTACTCGTTTAACTTCGGAGTTCTTATAGAACCCGAAGCCAATAAGCTCTCAAAAGGCCTCGTGCTAGGTAGAGATGGGAATATACATATAAGGCTTACAGGATCCTCACCTATAGGCGATGTGGGATGTTACACACACACACACACACACACACAATATAATAGAGAGTATAATTTATATTTTATTATTTTTAATCCCACAAATTATGGGTTATATTTAAAATCTCATTAATATAAACAAATAGAAATTTCAATTTTTAATTTTTAAATTAATACTAACTTACACTATTACATTAATGTCAGATATTTTGATCAAAAACTAAAAATAGACAAGGTTTAGGTCAAAGAATATTGATAGCTAGAGACCGTATCCAAAGTGACCCTTTGAATGATTATTTGCGAGACGAACTCTTGCATAAGGACTTTAAATATGAACAATTTCGATCACTAAAATGCATTATGAAAAATGAAAATAACTTTAATAAATATATATATATATGCACGAATATAATATATATAGAACTCCAATACTTGATTGGATTAGAATAATTTAATAGGTTTTGATGTGGTTAGTGAGAGATTTTTTAGTATATCAGGAATACAGTGTATTATATTACGGTCACTATATAAATAGAGAGATACTTGTTTTAAAAAATTAACAACTTAAAAATAAATTTTTTTTCCACTTATATAACGACACGTGATACCATTTATGTTTGCTCACAATGAAAATTTTCTCTTGGTTGGAGGAATAATCAAAAGAACTGAAATCAAAGAGAATAAAATGGTGGTTGTACTAGTACACTAATGCATGTGCCATGTGATGTGTTGGCTAGTTGGTCGGGAACTAAAGGAAGGGCACAAGGCGTCGGTGGTGGTGGTTTCGGCCACACGTACATTACACGTGGTTTGATAGAAAAGTCTGTGCACTTGATTGCAACTCTAGTGTTGGCTACACGTGGAAGTACACTGCACATGGCAGTTTGGTTTAGGATATGCTTTTCTTGACGTCTCTCTTTGAACTTGGCTTTTCCACTAACCTCCATGCTATTCTGGGAGAGCATCGTGAGGCAATTCCACTACCATCTTCTAGGGATTGGGTACTTGGATGGTTGATGTGGTGATTTTATTTACGTTGCCCACCAAAATGGAATTGCCTAATTATTTTCTTAAAATAAAAATGAACTTTTCAAAGATCATAAAGATTTATAAAGACATTTCGATCTTCATTAATTTTACTAACTTTGAAGATTAGTAGAATAAATTTCTCAGGAAATAAATATTAAAAAGAGGAAAGGAAATATTACTGTACAACACCTCAAATTCTTTAATTTCTTCACACGAAATTTCGACAAACTAAATAAAGAAATATCTCAGAAAAAGGATACTCAAGAAACGATGAACGCATCCATGACCGCCTTTTATTAGTTAATGTAGAGAAATGCAAAAATAAACATATTTTGGGAATGATGAAATACTTTTCGAAGCTTTAACAATAGTTGTTAATATTCTATAATTTTCAATGGTGTTAGAAACAAAACAAAACAAAAAAAAGAAAAATCATAGAGAGTTTGGAAAATTGAGATTAGGTAACAATGGAGATCCATGGAAAGCAAAACAAGGGTGTTTAATTATGGAAGGAAAGAGAAATTAAAAAATAAAATAAAAATAAAAAAAAGGAAGGAAGGTGGTGCTTACTTAGAAAATCTCCCAAGCTGAATGTTTTGGCGTCAGCCCATTTCTGATAGTTAACAGCTGCGTACCAACCGGAAGAGTCCCCCACTGTGTAATTCTTGTAACCTTCAACAACTGATATTCCTGAAAACGAAAACACAAGAAGAAGAAGAAGAAAACAAAAGCTGCTGCTGCTGGACTTTCTTTGTAGGAATATTAATAACTCCATTATCCTTATTGGAGTTTGTGACAACTAACAGAGAGAGAACCCAACTGATGGATTGATTGGAAGATTGGAAGCCAAGTGATAACTGACGATCGAGAGAGAGAGAGAGAGAGAGAGAGGCTAAGGTTATATTGAAGAATAAAGGGTATCGTTTGTATGTAGTGTTTGTAATGCTGCCAGCTAGCTACGGCCAGCAGCTGCTGCGTATAATTGTACGTATATGACCTTAACCTTTCTTGGAACTACCAAAAGGTCTCACTCTCTTGTCTTTCTGTCGGTTCCAAATTCCAATCTCAAGTCTCAAGTAATGTATAGTGCGATCTTGTTTTTGTTTATTTGGATTCCAAGTGAAAAATTATTGCATAATTAACATATAATTATATTTGACTTGTATTTGTGTGGTTTTCAAAAGGATCCTTCTCGGATCATTTTCTTGGGCTCTGGAGAATCTCATGATCATGATCGTTTATCGAATATCGTGCGATCAATTTTCGTTAAGTACTATTTAAAATGATTTTTGACCATACAATGTACGATAAACGGTCATAATCATGGGATCCCCAGATCTTCAGGAAAAGGATGCTCGCCAGATCCTTTTCCTTTACTGAATCATGATAAAACTAGGGGTGTGCTATCCACACATCCGTTTTTACTTCTCACACCCCTTTTGTTAATTTATATCTTTTGATTTTTTTCAACTCATCCAATCTGACAATCGAAAATTAAAAAGGTGTGTAAGAAATAAAAAATAATGTGTGTATAACATATTGCTAAAATGATCGACAGTTATTGTTGAGTTCATGTAGTAAAATACAAGTTGAAAGACTATGATGTATTGACAAAAAGTAACTCATTTTTTTCCCTCAAATTGTATATAATCGTGCGTGATTAAATAATAATGAGTTTTTATCACAGATGGTTTTTGAAATTGAAATCAATCAATGTAATCCCTGAAAATAGGTGTCGCAAATCAATGTGGTCGTTCCGTCACAATTCTGTCAAAAATTCTATTATGTACTAATGTGGCACATAAATGGGTTCCAAAAATCCTTTTTCTTTTTATCACAGACAGTCCTTGAAATTGACTCACACATGGTCCCTAAAATTGACCCACACCATCAAAATGATCCCTAAAATTGAAAATCAGTCAATGTAATTCCTGAAAATAGATATCTCAAATCAATGTGGTCATTCCATCGTAATTATGTCAAAAAAATTTGTTATGTGCTGATGTGGAACATAAATGGGTCCACAAGTCTAACTAAATAAAAAATAAATTAGAAATATGTCTAACAATTTAATAATTAATTAAAAAAGTTGTCAACCCGGAAACTCAATCCTGCAATCACCTCCGATCCCAACCCACACTCTTCTACCTCCATCTATGGTAGCCTTTGTCGTCTTTTCTCTAGAAAAGGAAAAAGAAGAAATAAAAATAAAAATCTTAAGACGCTCATTTCCACACCCTTCATCGAATTGGACCCAGATCGAGACTACCTTTGGTGACAACTTGGATTGGTGACGACTTTTGTGACTCTACGGTCAATATTTGGGTGATCGACAACCTCACAACCTTAACCTTGGAGAGCTTGTTAGGCGCTCCCTCGGTGATCTTGGTGATGCAGAGAATGGCGAGCTCTTCCTTAAGATAATCTCATTGTGCAAAGAAATTTTTTGACAACTTTTTTAATTAATTATTAAACCCACATCAGCACATGATAGAATTTTTTACTGAATTGTAAAAGGATGACACATCTATTTGTAACACCTATTTTTAAGGACTACTTTGATTGATTTTCAAGTTCAGGGACCATCTTGATGGTGTGAGTTAATTTCAGGGACTATTTGTGATAAAAACTCTTATATCTTGTGGGTTCCATTTATGTGCCAAGTCAGCACGTAACAAAACTTTTGACGGAATTGTGATAGAATGACCACATTAATTTGCGACACCTATTTTCAATGACTAGATTGATTCATTTTTAATTTCAGAGACCATCTGGATGGTATATGTCAATTTCAAAGACCATTTGTGACATAAACCCTAAATGAAAATGCAAATTTTGTAGTTTGATTGCTTGCATTATTTTAAAAAAAATAGCTCATGTATATCTGGTCTCGATTCGAATTTATATACTACTATGATTAGCTAGTGACTCTTATTTTTCTTTTCCATTAAACAATTAACAAAGTACTATTGGTAATCATATCTAACTTAAATATTTAAGAGTATTTAGTCTTTTAAAATGCGAATATGTCTTTAATCTGTTGTCCATACTTGAATTTTACAGTTGTTAGTCCATATCATATGTCATCGATAATAAATAAATAAATAAATGAAATTGAAAGAGTGGGTGGGAGGAGGCTAGAATGGTTAAGTTCAGAGTGGAGATGTCGACAATGAGTAACTTTTAATATTTGATGGATCTAAATAGGTGGAGGGTGGAAGGGTTGGGCTGGTGTAGATTATAGGTGGACAGGTTTTCGATCGTGCAGGTCCGAATTGTGGAAACAAATGGGTTGAGTTCAAGATAGGGTTAAAAAATTACTCTCAAATAGGTATAGGGTAGAAGGTAAACACTTGAGGTTAGATTATTTTGGAGACTGTTGGGACCTGAAATCTTGGATTGGGCCGAGTTGGTTAACAACCTGGAAAGGACACTGTGAGTCTCAAACCAATGGTGAAGTGGTCAGTCCAGTAATGAGATGTTTATGGTTCTATCAAGTCCTAGGTGAATTGGGATTGCTTAAAAAATAAACATTGGATTATGGCTCAGTCGAGTCCTAAACAAAGTAGGATTGTTGGAGGATCAAGATAGGTTTTGATAAGGTTTGATTAAATTGCTTAATGATCAAAACGTATGTCTAGATAAATGAATGAATTAATCACATAAGATTACTAGGTTCATAACCTTAGTTCAGGTCGAAGATGGCGGGACTCAGTGGTGATAGAGTTTGGGTGGAAGAATGATTTGTGAAGATAATTCTAAGTGTTTTTATATAATGTTGAAGAATTGCAATACTATATGGATTCTGCAACTTGGCACTCTTGGGCATCAAGTAATTTGTCCCTATAAAATACAAGGGGATTTGCAATGTAGAACACAACACAAAAATCAACACTCTACGGGAAACAATTTCACACCCTTTTGTGAAAACTAACCGTTAGCTTAAATTCTGACTGAATAGACGAGTTTGGGTTGGCAATAGACGGACGAAGACTGACTGGATAAAAAAAGGTTTTCCAAAAGCAACCATATTATTGGACATGTATGCCACATCGGCACACTAATAGAAAACTTAATGGATTTTATGGTAGGGATTAAAGTGATGTGCGGTAGTCAATTTCAGGGACCACATTGATCAATTTTGAGATTAAGGGAAAAAATGATGAGTTTAGACTTGAAATTTGCTTTAGACTTGAAAATTTAGGATGGAAAATAGTTTTCCCTTGTTTGGCAAACATTCAGCAAGAGAAAAGGCAAATTCTACAAGGAAAAAATGTGGAAATTGGGGATGAAGTTTCCTGAATTTAATTTCTGTGTAAATAGGTGTAATTTCACAGTTCCAACTATGACAAGAATCACAAATTTTGGGGGTGTAGTCAAATTAGGATTTGATAAAATTTGATAGGATTTTAATAGACTTTAAAATCAAAGTGTAGTCAATTAGGATTTTAAAAGACTTTGAAATCATTGTCTAGTCAAATTAGGATTTGAGAGGATTTTAAAAATACATTCAAATCCATAGGTAGTTAACTGAGATTTTAATGGATATTTTTAGAGTGATTATAATCTAGGTGTATTAAAAAAATCAAAGATTTGACAGAGTTGTGAATTTTGTTAGATTTGTGAGCACAAATATATATAAGCAAGACAAAACAGAATCCCACCTCACCCCTAAGATATCATTTCAACCTCTAACCTTCTCTCTTCCTCCATAATTATTTTTTTATTCCCAATTCTCTCTTTTTTTTTACGAAATGAAACCTCCGGAGTTTCAAGCAAAGTTTTAATAAAATAAGGACATTTGTCGAAACTGGGTTCCTAACCTCATTTATCAAAACAAAGTGTTCTCTATGGCTATCAAATTTTCCTTGACCTCTCTTCCTCTGTTAGGAAGATAAGGACTAGACCATGACTTGCCTTCATACGTGGCAAATTCATAATGTGTAAAAAATTACATAGTTTCACAAGCGATGAAACAAACTTAATTACAACTTCAGCATACATGAAAATAATTAAACATCCAAATATTCCTAGATCAGAGCATTTGTAAAGCAAGAGAAAGGATTTCATTCCGTGAAGTATTTGCATATTTAGCCTGATTAAATATCTCAAAGAAATTCATTTTATGTTGAATTGGTGTGTCTCTATTGGTTTGGTGATGTTTAGAAATCGTAAGAAATCCAAAAAAAAAAAGGAAAAAAATCTTACAAATTCATAGAAATCTGTAATAGAATCCATATTAATCTAACAAAATTCATATTGTTGTAGGCATAATTTATTGAACAATTATGGAGGCCAGTGATAGGGGATGCGGCAGCATAGAGAGAGATGTATAATTGTGAGGTGTGTGTTATCTCACCCATTATGCCTTTATTTATAGTAGTAGAGAAGGTAAATTCCTTACCCCAATGAGATTACAACTCTAATAAGATAATATCTAGTCTAAGAGATAATGTAGAATCCCACAAGGATATCTTAGATATGTTAGGATTTACACAATCACATTCCAAAGCTAATAGGACTGCAACACATATAGAATTGTAGAGTCTATTAAAATCCTTTGAAATTTTCACTTAGAAGAATCTATAAAAATCCTCTTAAATCCAAATTGACTACACCCCTACGTGGGCAAATCTCGCGCATGCCAAATTTCATGATCAGGGCGCCACATTTCATAATAAAACATGATAAGGGTTTAGGATTGCATCGTTCGCTCTGTTAACTCTCCAATCTTCGACGAGATTTTTGGCTCATGCATCATCTTCTTGATTTGTTCTAGGCCAACACCTCTATTCTCTTGTTTCCTAAATTATTTTAGCTTTTCGCGTGAGATGCATCATGATAATCATAGATCATAAATCTGACCGGGATATGGATGATAAGTGAACCAAATTTTATTGTACTACAATCAAGGTTGAAAAAGTGTCATGATTAGTTTATTTATACTTCTACTAATACGGGTAGCCATG